GTTGAGATTGAAACCAGAAAACCACCTATTTGATTTGTGACCCTTTCTGAAGGAGTCCTGCTGGCTAGTAGGATAATTTGACCTAAAAAACCTCTGAGGGCAATCCTACTGCTGCTGCCCCACCAAGTGATGCCTTTTTACTACCAGGGTAAAAACTCCCAATGAATGTAACATCATAGCTCAAGAGTCTTAAAACAAATGCAGCATCTCATCAGTTTTCTCTGAGAACAAGAATTGGCCACCCAACTGTCTGCTGTGCCTCAGGGGTTATAGCAGAGTTCTGCAACTAGGAAGCCCTTCACAGAGATACAGCTGAGGCCATAACTCTAGAGAAGTGGTCCCCAAACTTTTCAGGGTCATGCCCCTTCTTACCCCTATTTGTGCCCCCACCCCCACCCCAGGAGCTGGGCTGCAGGGGCATGGACAGAGGTCTGGGGGCTGCAGCTAGGAGCAGAGCCCCAAGGCTAGGTGTAGGGCCAGGAGCCGTGGCAGAGCAGAGCTTGGAGCGGAGCAGGGCAGGGCGGTGCTTCCTCCTCCTGTGGGGGCTGGCCTGGACTCCACCACACACCCCCAACCGTTCCTAGGGGCATGCCCCATAGTTTGGGGACCCTCTGCTCTAGAGGAAGCATCAGCCATGTTAAATGCTGACTCTAGAGATGTTTCAGGTGGCCCTCCACAATGAAAGAAACTCCTCCCTGGAGGAGCCTGGCAATTTATCTGTAAATTTTGCCTTTGCTTCCCACTTTAGAAAGTGATACTTTTATCGAACTATCTGCCAACTGGCAACACAGTTGTAAGATGAGGTAGAATACATTTTCCTGCCAAACAAGTCCAATCTTTCAGAGTATTTGTCCTTTGGTGTCAATTTATATCACCCCCTTCTTTACCTCTCATTAGCTGTCCTTATGACAGGAGGTGTTGGAGGCAAGTAGAAGCAAGCATAGGCATATAGTCTCTCTTATCTGGGTGTTTTGCTGTGAGTGGTAAGGATGCAAGGGTGTTCCATAAAGTCTTTGCTGGTTCCAAGATTGCTTCATTTATGTGGAGGAGCCACTTTATCCAGAGCTTTGGACTTGGGAATATCCAGCAACTTGTGGCTGTTCTCCTGAACAAACTCAGCCTGAATACCCAAGGCTGAAGCCAGGCATGTCAGGAAGCACTAATACGATTTAAAATCCTCTGCTACGGGGAGAAAGAACATGGCACTACAGAGTCATCTGTTGATGAATAAGAGGAAGCAAGCCAAGCCAATGGAACCTACTGTGGCACTTGTAGCAACGGCTCAAGCTGAACCATCTGAGGCTGCAGTGATGGAGGCTGCGTGTGGAATAGGTGACCTTGCTCTAGACTGCGTTGCGGAGCAAGACCTTGCAGACTCTGGAACAACCCAGGGATTCCATGAGGCTGCTCTGGTAGGGGTACAGCACTGGTGGCCAGCAGGCACTGGGCCAAGGACCCCTATCGCTACTACAGGATATCAGGAAGGCCCAAGAGAGGAGGAAGACATCTCCAAGCCCAATCCTGAAGAAGCTTCCAAGTAGTGCTCAGGCAACAGAGGAGCCACTGTGGCAGGCCAACCAACATCCAGCCTCATCTAAAGTCCAGCACGGTGGTGGATACATCAGAACTGACAAACTTAAAGCATTTGGTGCTTTAAGCATTGATAGGACGCTTGCAATTGCACTTGGTACGGGAGCAGACATGGTCACTGAAGTAGAAGCCAGCACCATTCCCATAGAAACAATATGCATCAGTCTCATCATCAGCACCAAAGTCCTTTCCTGAACTGATAACCTGCTTTGCACTGAAAAGGCGGACAACCTCAATTCTGTACCCCAGACTAGAAGAGGTGCTGACACTAACAGGTCCGTATCCATTCCAGATGGTGCCCAGGGCACCGATGAAGCCACCACAGCTGAATGCTTTTGAATCAAAGGAGAGTCATAACTGACAAGTCCAAAGCTGCCCAATACACCACAAGCTTAGAAACAGTCTGTGACAATACTGATGGTGCCAATAGTGGACTCAACAGATGCTCCACAGGCAGTATTGGAATCAATGATAGAGTCCACCTGCTCTTGCCTCGTGGTATCAGACAGCAGGTAGATTGCCCTGCTCTTTCTCGTGTACTGGATGAATCATGGTGCTGGTCTGCACTCCTCTTAAGAAGGTGAAGTGGAATCTCTCCTAGCACTGGAATGGGTCAGTCCGTTTTATGAGATCTCTTTCCAGGAGGACCAAAGGAAGGAGAAAAGTCTTTTCTTCCTTGGGAAAGAATCTGAATCTGGCCGAACAACAGTCTGTGCTATTGAGATGCCCTCTCGGAGGCCTAATGATGTCTGGAGGTCCCCACTGCCAAAGTAGGCCTCATGGACTGCTCAAAGAGGTACTGTTTCAAATGTAAGCTGAACAATTTGCAGATGGAGGCTATTTGTTTATGTGCCCTTCTCCCAGGCACATGTGGGATCATTATGGGGAACAGTCCCCCCCCGCCCCCCCCATATGATGGAAAATGTTTAAACCCTGGTGATGTCATCACCCAGGATACCTATCTAAACTATATACAACAAAAGCCGAGTCAGACTGTGATGCTTTACCTTGTGCTATTTTACCACACAAAACATTTGAACACTAGCCATGGACAGTAAGAAGGAACTGAAGTGGGTCGAGGCAGTGCTGCTTTTAAATAGCCAGGGGAGGAGCTAGAGCCACATGGCACAAGTGCTGCTCCCACAGGTACTGCTAAAACAAAGTTCTCCCGTTTCGGTCATTGGGTGCACACACAGCCGAGTGGAATACACAACTGGAACTACTCAAAGTCATCCTCTTCCTCCTCGCAAGGCCCATTCCCTATCCACCTACACACGGGTTTTTTTGTGCAAAAAATGGCTTAGGCTCCTCTCCCCAGCATTTCCTCATGGCTATCTTAGGTGGCAACTCACTCAGTATGGTCGCTTGTATGGATGCCATTTTTAGGTAGCTAAATCTCCCTCTACTTTGTGTAAGCAGCCTAAGCAGCCAGCTGGGGGCTGGGGACTCCACTGGGTTACAATATCCAAGAGCCTGGTTGCTGGGCACAACTAGGTTTGAATCTGCACTCTTCTTGATTTGCAACAGGGACTATCAGCAAACAGAAAGGAGTTAGGAAGCTACATTACTTAGGGAAAGTCTCATTTGGGGGTTCCAGAGTTCTGCATCAGAAGCTTTTTGGCTGTACAGATCTGCTCTTAAGCAGCTGCTGTAGAAACAGATGTGTCTGATCCAAATGCAGTATTGAAGCTCTTGCAGATATAGATGTTCCATAGTAGCATGGGATTTTTTTTGTATTTCTACACCTTCAGCCATTATGAATTTCAATTAACATACTTAGCACATGGTTGAGGATTTTAAAACTTTTCAAGTTGAAAAATCTAATTTACCACTTAATGAGAAAGTATTTTTAATTAAATATTCATTTAGTTCTCCAGTTAATAATTTCTCAAAATGATTTGCTATTTTCTTATTCCTATGGCAGTTTAGTAAACAGTGAACTTTTGAGGATTTGTGCTTATATACTCAAGTTGTTGTATATGGAAAGAGTTCTTTTTCAAATAAAAAAATGATGCCAACAAAATGGCATGAAACCAAGATTATCCAGTTGCTGGTGGCTTTATATCAGTAAGTTTATAGCACATCCCTTTTTAAAGGCTCTTCTTGTCCTATGAAACATCTAAATAGCTTTCATAAATATGAATAGATAAGTCTGAACATTGTGCATATTGTAAACTTGGCAGTGGATAAGCAGGGTGTTTCTAATACTATTTAACTGATTTTTAAAAAAATATTTCACTACAATTTGCAGAAATTAACTAGTATTTTTAGTTGCTTTGTAAATGTGGAGCAAAACCAATATGTATGAGATTACTTCCGTGTCAATTAGAACCATAACAGGTTGAAACACCAGTGGTAGAGATAGGCTACTCCCTCAGTGTGGATGATTTTTATTATAGAAATACTTGGAATAATACTAAATAACTTAATTCTATAGTGTTTCACATATCGTTTCCAAGCCAAATACATGAACCACTACTATTGTGTCCTTAAATTTTTTTACTAATAACTTTATTTAAATAAGACACAGGAACTTCTATACTGAAAAAAAATACAAAACAAAAGCCACACATTTCCTTGTGCAAAGCAATATTGTGTGATAACTCGAATACTGTTCAGCACAGTGGCTAGAAATAACAGTACAGCTATGTACAAAACTTTAAACAATATTTGACAAATTTCTACAGCTGGATGTAGAATACATTTGAGATCAACAACTGCTGGGAAATTTACATGGCAAAGCATTAACTTTAACACATTTGGCTCAAAACCTTCAAATACGCTAAGAACAAATGTGCAACACAATTAATATTTAGTTTCTCATGGAAAATTAAATGAGCATGTAATGTCACTGTAAATATAGTACATCAGAGTTCATCATGGATCTAAAAATCACTTTTTAAAAAATCTCTCTGGAATCCTAACACCAACAACTGAAACTACAGATTCATATTTGGACACAACCAGCGCATAGAAAGGTCACCATATTGCAATGTTAATCTAAGATGTAAAACATTAGAACAAATTTGCACTTACATCACAGAACAGGTTATTATTTTCCCTTTAACTTCAATCTACAAAATATATAGTGTTTTCACCAAGGCCTGAGATTAGTAAGGTTCAAGATGGCTGTTGCTGTGTGAGGGCTTCAAAAAGGTTCTTCATGCAAAAATGGTAAAAATAAACAGACCTCCCCCTTACACTCTCTTTGCAGCTCCATCCTACAGTCAGAACACTGACTGTTTTACAGGCTGCAGGTTTACACCTTGTAACACAACACTAAAAAAAACGTTCAGAAGGGAACTGGGCTTCTTTCTCTCAAAAGAATACACAAGTGCAGGATATTTTTTTCCAATTTTGTCAGTAGTTATTGGTGGTGCTATCTTAGTCTTTTCCCACAATTCCTCATCAAAAGAAAAAAAAAAAGCAATGGCATGAATTTAAATGCTGCAGTAGCTGCAGGTGGCTACTCTCCAATTCCTGGGAAAAGGTAAACCACATTCTCTTCGGAGCAGACAACATAAACCTAATTCCACTGAGCTAAAACCAATGGAGCAAGAACATCAAGTTTATTCTGCCTCTGGGCTCCTCTTTGTATCACAGGAAATTATCTTTGAAAGCAATGCTTTTGCAGTTCCAGCACAGTAAGAATATTAGGAAACAGTTCTTGCTATGTACTGTTTTTGAGAAGATGACCCGCCTGCAAGCCCAAAACTATTTTACTAGGGTTTCTTACCCACATTTTAACTGCAAAAACTTTATACAGTAGTAATTTAAGTAAATTAGGGTACTATGAGAAGCTCTGATTAGGCAAACTATTGCTTCTCTCCTTTAAAACATCCACTTGCTCTTTTTGGATTTTAGTCCAAAAGCAGAATTATTCACTATGCAAACAGAATGCTGCTCGTGTTGCTTGATAAAATCTGAGAAACCTAATTTCCAACCAGCAAATGAATGAACATTTCCAAAAGAGAAACTAAACATTAATTCGACTCTTAGATGGTAACAGTAGCTTAACTGCCTTAACATCCTTAACTGCCAACATAAACATGAGAGGAAATCCCCACCAACCCTTGTGAAACCTGAATGAATTTTCTGAAATTAAACAAAAACATTCTTGTCTTTTAAAATCGTTTCACACAAAACGTGGAATGTTTCTTATGTACAGCCTAGTACTGAACACTTTATTTGCAACAGCATAACAGTCATTAACTGAGCAACACCTGAAACCTTTAAATGCCACATTTTACATATACTGAAATGACAGTAAATGCAACAGTTGTTTTACTTGTAACCACATGACAAAGTGATGTTGTACATCACCGGTTTGCTGGTTCTCCTCATGTTCACCCATGTCCAGGGTCATCATTCTCCTGGATTTGAATGCACTTATTCCAAGAAAGTGGAATGTAATGAGGAAATATTAATGCATAAAATAAGGAAAGGCAAAAGAGTGATGTTCCCTCTTTAGCTTTTTAGCTGTAAAATATTTATATCCCAATATGATATACATTCCAAGTTACCTGAGTTTAGACTTCGAGAGAAGTACCTGAAGCTAGGCCATAGGGCGGGCACTGTGCAACTGTTGTGGCCATTTTTTTTTTTTGCATTGTATGTATTACAGAAGTTAGAAACATAAACACCTGGATCAATTGTAAACATAATCCTGAAGTACAGTATTTTCCATAGGACACAACACAGCAAGACATTTTCTATTCAGACAGGCAACTTTTTTGATACAGAGCTTATTTATACTGTAGAATTTGAAACAGAACACAGGACACAGTACTAATCTGGTCATACTATGAAATGCATAGTCTCCACTTAAATGCTTAATGATACACGTTTTTTGCAAGCATTACTGCTTTTTCACAAAAAAATGCTGAATATGAGTTCTGTCCCTGCCAAGAACAGTGTTGAGATATTTTTAAGATGCTGATAAGTATTTTGTTTTGTTCTGAAAAGGTTGCCACTCCATGCAGATGTATTAGTATAGACTCCCCAGTCCTTGTTTCAGGTCAGAGGCCTGCTCCACCTTGGTCTAGATTATCACATAGCTCTGAGGAGAGGAGAGTTCTTCAATCTGAAGTTCCTGCAAAAGCGGCTGTTGCTGTTGGGATGGCTGTTGTTCTGAGACCTCTGTAGAGTCCATTGTGCTGGTGTCATCTGACAGAGATGAGAAGGAGACCCGAGATGAAAGTTGCTCAACAGTCAGAGTGCTCAAAGCTGTGCTTTGACCAGAGTTTGGAGAGTTCTTGAGAGTCAGGTCAGAAGCAGGTAGTAGGGGACCCAGAAGTTTTACAGGACAGAAAGCTGATCCGGTTGGGATGAAATTAACTTTGTTTTTGTCAGGGCATGAAAAGAGCGGGGCTGAGACAGGCTGACGAGACCTACAACGAGACAAATTATTATACACCTGACAAACTGAAAAAGTTTACTATGTGAATAGATTTTGTAGTTCTACAAATTGCTAATATGTGAATGACAAGGAATGGAGTTAATTGGACATAAAGGGGCAAACATCTTCCATATTGATAGTCAGTTGACTGTTTGATCCACAGCATTAAAATAGTATTTATAACAAAAGTGACTGGATACCATTGGACAACATGCAGTTTTCAGCAATAAAATCTACAGTATGTATGCACATGGAAAAATATGATAGTTTATAATGATGAACTTAGACATTTTAGTTTGACAAAACTATTGAAACAGCAGCATATATTTAGGAGTATTAAATCCCTTTTTGGAGAAACTCCGTAAGTTAAAATTCTCCTTTCCTCATCTTCATATATTGGTTTGGAGCCTTCCTCCAGAATCCAACACCACAGCTCCTTAGCCAGCAGGGAATGCTACTAGAGCAGAACATGCCCTCCTGGCTCCTTCCATCCACAGGAGCTATGTATGCAACCAACAGCATAGCCACAGTAGTGCTGGTCTACGGAAAAAAAGATGAAGGCCAAGAGTTTAAATTCTGGTCTCTTGCACAATAGCACACAGAGGTACCTCAAAATTACTAGGCAAACCCTCTATCGTAACTTTGCTACGTCTGTATTTACTTTATACACATTCCCTTTCACTGTGTGTATATATGTGTATGTTTTACATGTGTCAAAATATAGCTCAATATGGACTGACAAAAACTGCCTGCTCCCAGCGTTTTCTTTTAAGCCATGAACATTTTATAAAATGAACCCAAACTGACAGCGTTATAAAGAAAAGGGATTTATAAATGCTGGACATAATTTTAAAACAATAAGTATTTCATGTTTTCTTTGCTTCGCTTTTCTTGTTTGCATTTTATAAACACATTAAAAAGTTCAAGCATAAAATACTCCATTCACCTTCAAGCCAACATGAACACTTGAACTTTTTTCCTGTTCAAACCCTCTAAGAACAGTTTGCTCCTGCAAAACTCATCAGCTGGAGTAGTTTATTCATCTGCAATTGAATAGGTTCAGTAAAAAGGTTTACTGCTTTGCAGATACCAGCTGATATAAAAGGCATTACTTACGACATTTCCTCAAAGACCTTCACTCGCTCACATCCCTCTGGGGGCTCTCGTTTGAACATGTAGCTGTTGTTTGGTTTGGGAGATGAGGCATACTTGGGCAACGGTGAGCTACTCCCACTGTCTGAAAATTTAAAGCAGTTATATTACTAGTGATTGAGAGTGCTTTCATTAAATTTGATTTCCAAACAAGCTGTCTTTTTCACAATTTAGCCTCTAATGCCAGTTCGCCTCTACCACAATGTTTCCTTTATTGCAGACTATTTCTAACACCTTTGTATCGCATATTTCTTCTGAATAAAAGATTCAGTGCAGCAGTAATCTACCATAGAACAGCACATAGTAGGAGGATATTTTTATCCAGAACACTGCAGATTGAATAAAGCAGACCTGTAATCCTGGAAACAAATAAGTTCTTTATTATGTATTTCGAAAAATGTAAATGAACAGGATAATATGTATAGCACATGCCGAAGAATTACAGTGGTTATGATAATGTGGAGTTCTGTATGCCTTCTCATTGCATAAACATGGTAATTGAAAATGAATATATACAGCATATACGTTATTAAAAACCTATAGTCCTTAGCAGAAACGTTGCCCTCAATAGCCTCCTGAGTAGCACAGGAGTTAAAGAAAATGAAACAGGTTTGTAATACTGATTCCTCCCTCCAACCTCGCCTGCATAAAAGCTAAATTATGCAGCCAGATTAAGGACCTATAATGAAGTAAAACTTTTAACATTCTTTGTATTCTTCCTTCTAAGCACCAACTGTCTGATATGGGTGTTTTTTGAACCTCTTATTTTCTTCACAGTTTTACTGTTCCTGTTATAAAAGTGAACAGTAGAACCATATAGAGCTGATATACCTGAGATACTGAGCAGGTTTTTCTGTCTCTCTGATCTGTCAGAAAGTAAAGACTCATATTGAAATAGTCTGATAGGTGCAACAGGATGATGTTTAATATTCGGAGGGAACTCAAAGGGTTCATGTTGTCCGATTAAAAAGAAAATTACCTATTTTTCTCATCTTGGCTGTTTAACAACATTTAGTGCAGGGGTTCTCAAACTGGGGGTCGGGACCCCTCGGGGGGGGGGTGTGAAGTCACGAGCTGTTAGCCTCCACCCCAAACCCTGCTTTGCCTCGAGCATTTAGAATGGTGTTAAATATATTAAAAAGTGTTTTTAATTCATAAGGGGGGGTCGCACTCAGAGGCTTGCTATGTGAAAGGGGTCACCAGTACAAAAGTTTGAGAACCACTGATTTAGCGTAAGAAGCTTTTATTTCACTGAGAAATTAAAATGTTTTAAATATGAATATGTGAATATATTTCCCACTGGAATTTGAGGAATTTCTTGGGGTGACATCCACCCTGCTGTTAAGTAGTCTTTGTGATACTGGTAGAGTGGGAGGCAGAGCTAACATTCCCTATCCCGGTTCATCATGAAAATGGAACCTTGTGGTTAAAGAGACAATGTCAACTTGAAATTTAATCAGTTTCAAAGAAGGTTGGGATTCAGTTAAGGATGGGATTCAAAAGTGATTAGGAGACTCACCTGGGAGGTGAGAGATTCAAGATCAAGTCCCTGCTACAGATAAGGAAGAATGTAAGTCTCTGATGTCTTGGCTGAGTGGCCTAACCACTGGACTAAAGGCTATAAGGGGGCCCGGGCCCCACCACAACCAATTTTGAAGACAAAACATTAACCTGGCTTTGGCACTGAACTCCAGGAGAGGGTTCATGGCTGTGAATCCCAAGTGGAAAAAGATGCTTTCCTCTGGCCCAGAGATAGGCACCTAACCCCCTGGGAGGGGAAGAGCGTACGCCAGACCCTTCTTTTCAGTAGTTCCCACTGGCTTTTTTAGGCAGCTCCCCACTCAGCACACTGGCCTTTGTAATTCCCCTTTTATGGCATCTTGTTCTCCTCACACATTGTACAGACAGCCTGGGCACCTACCTCAAGGTTTTGAATTTCGATAGGCTGAAGGGCACCGAAATCCTCCTTGCGAATCCCATCCTAAGAGTAATTTCCATTTCTGTACCTGAGCTCCCCAGACAATTTGGGTTCACATACACATTTTCCTATTTTTGAATGTTTTATTTTCCCCTATTGTATGAAAGGCCAGCAGAAACACCAAGGAAAGATCTACTAACTGAGGCCACAATCTTGCACTGTGATCCACTAGCACAGACTCCCCATATCCCATGCAGAGACTCAGTGAATCCATTTTAAGTCCACTTTGAGAACCCACAAAAGAGTCTGCAAAAGTTCCGATATAATCATTGCTCATAAATATAAGATACTGAATTTAAATGTTAGGTGTTTTGATAAATCACTATTTCATTTTTAAGGGACACTACCAACTTCGCCACACTTCCTTTGAACAGTACTGCAACTGATTTGAGGACTTTTTTTCCCCTCCAGTTTGTTTACTTTCTTAACAGTACTTTTGCACAGCCTGTTTCACTGTTTCTCCCTCATCAGTCAGAATGGACCTCTTAGTTACAGGATATTAGGTGTTACCTGTAACAAGACAAGTAACAAGCTTCCAAACAGCAGTATGATTTGTCAAGTTGACAGCGTCAAGATCCTTTTAGAATCTATCCAATACTTTGCTAACATGGCTGACCCCATATATAAAGGTCATATGTTGAACTCAGAACAGGAAGAGTAGACTGAAATGTGGGTGATCGAATATAATCCCGTGTTCATTTCTCTAGCATTTAAAATTGAAGATCCAGGTTTCCACCTAAAATCTGTTTGGAAATGAGACTATTACTGTTCACTGCACCAATCAATGGAAAACTGTAGACATAACCCTAACAGAGATAACAGCTGAATTCAGAATTTTGTCAATTTTAAGAGGATCTACAATCCTGTTTAGCCAGCTCATCCACTGATCAAGTTTTTAGCATGTTTGGATTTGTTTGCTTGAAACTGTTATAGGACAAAGTAAGTAAGTAGATATTAATATACTTTTACCAATTTAAGGGCAGATACAAAGTAGAGGGATGATTCACAAGCTAATGGGTGTGTGTGGGGGGGGGAATGGGGGGGGTGTATGTGTGTTACTTACAGAATAGCAAGCCTTTCATTTTGGACAGAATATGTGATTTTGACGTCTGAAGAATACATTTGCTTATGAAGTGAATCACACAGTATATGCTTTGTGCTTCATTTCATAAAACCTTAAAAGGTTTCTTTTCAGGGCTGTGGAAACAAAAATCACAAGCCTGTAATTATACCATTATTTAAAGCAGGAAGGACAGTCTTTACAGTTTCTTAAACTGGTCTTCAGTAGTTCCAGAATCTCATATGGTAAAGTTTTTACTGAAGTAGTAGTAAGTTCAGAAACATCAACTGTAATTCTAATATTAAAAAAATAAGTAATGTGTATTTTAATAATCCTGCAAATATTTCTTCCCAAACTCCATCCCTTTGGGAGGCAGGGATGCATGCTTTCCTTCAAAGAAGTCATTATTTTATCTCCATTCACCAGCTAATGGGGTGTACTCTACAAGCATACATCAACAAAACAAGCATACTGTACCTCTGTATCGGATCTTAACCAGCTCAAGGTTCCAGATTCCTAATGTCACTTCTTAGCTACTCTGAATGGCTGCTCTGCCTTTGTATCCTCAAGCATGTGTAACACTGATAACTTTTTGAAATTTCTAAAATGTTTAACCACCACTAAATAGCTTGCATGGTGGTTGATAAAGTTTCAATCATATTTCCCCTCCATTTTTCACATGACTGTTAGTTGTCAACACTGATTTTGCTGCTGCAAAATATGGTTTAGATGTATTTTTGTTTCTTTCCCATGTTTTGAGTCACATACACTTAGTTTATTGACACTAGTTTTTAATATTGTCAGTGCTGCAAAGCCAACTATGTCACAAAAGAGCAAGTTCCATTCTGCTCTCCTTGGAACAGTATCAACAACACTGTCAGTTACAATTCCAAAACTAGAAGACTTACTGCTGATGAAGTTACATGAAGAATGGTGAACACTGCTTAATTTTTTGATGTATTGGGCTGAACCTGCAGTGTTGGCAGTTAAAAGCTTACAATTTTAGTAAATGAATGAATCACATTTCGTTAAGGCAGCAGTGATAGAAGATTAATAGGAAACAGTAAGATGTAACATTTCAGTCCAGTTTTTTCAGTATTACTACAATGAAGATTGCCTTGGCAAACAATTTGGTCTGGCAGGAGTTCCAAGTTATACAACTGTAAACTTAAAATTTGGATATTTTGAATGCTGTTTTATGCTTTAGAAAATGTTTGCCAAATTTAGTTAAATTGTATACTATTAAACAATATGATTATTTTCACTAATAACCACACACAGATCACATATGTAACGAAATGTTTTTTAATCTCTAGATATGTTTCAGCAACTACAATACTGTCCTATGACAGTACTTACACAAAAGGGACAGATGTAAGAGATAACCTGCAAATTTTGAGTGGCAGATGGACAACAAATGAAAAACAAAAAAAGGAAAAGAGAAACTCTGCAAATGACCCTCAGGATTACTCTTTGTTTTGATAGATTAAAAAAGCCTTTCCAATTAAAAAACAAATGGCATTCTCTATTTATACAGAAAAGTGCCTTTCTGCTTCTAGTCTCTCCATGCACTTTATAAAAACTTTACAAACCATGAGCCAGATCCTGCAGTCCTTATTTAGCCAAAACTAAGTTTGGGAGTTTTGGCCAAGACAGGATTGAAGGATACAGCTCCATATATAAAGGAGTCCTTTGAACAGCCATCACTGAAGTGCAGCTAATATTGGGACGGAATATACAAACTAAGTAATAATGTACAGAACACTAAAAAGATTTAGCCCAGGAGGTTTATCAGAATACTATAGAAAATGGAAACCTTGGGTGCAGAATATAGAATCCAGGTGGACAGAATATAGTTACTCAAACTGGAATTTAGCCAGGACATTGTCTTTGTGAAAATGCAATGGGACTTTTAGTAAATGCACAGGAGTTCATTTTTATGTTTCACTGAAAAGATGGCACCTCTATCAGCATGTTGCTTGGGGCACCCAGTTTACAGCACCATTCTGCGGCCTACAAGTAGTACTTAAAAGTGAATACTTATCAC